CCCCCCCCCCAAAAAAAAAATTGGCCCCCCGAAATGCTAAGGACACGAAACGATTTTTAGAAATAGGAATTTATCAGATATTACAAGTTATTTAGATCTATAATCCAGTCACATAGTATAAAATTAGCAGCCTCGTACCCAGGCGCAAATAACGTACTAAAAAACAGCAACACTACAGTTTTTTATATAGATCAGTGGCTGAGCGAGCGCGCGGGGGTGCTTGGCCCCCGCGCGCTCGCTCTCTTAGCCACTGATCTATATAAAAACACTGTAGTGTTGCTATTTTTAGTACGTTATTTGCGCCTGGGTACGAGGCTGCGTTAATTGGCGAATATGTTAATATGCACGTGTCTAATAAATAAATTAAAAAACTCATTAATAATTCAGGAGCAAAACACAAAGAAAAATCATAAGCGTGTCGTGGTTTTATATGTGATAGACAAAGTTTATTTTAAAAATTACTTCGCCAATGAACTCGTATAAGATGAGTCGTTTTTTAAGTACTATTTAAAGCACTTGTAGTCGTGTTTTATCGCATATAAAACACTCCGCTACGCGTCGTGTTTTATATGTGATAAAACACTCCTATGCGCGCTTTAAATAGTACATAAGGATTAGGGTATAAGTAGACTTTTAAGTGGAAACGTTTGTTCGAAAAACAAAATCAAATGAGTGGTTATTTCGTTAAAAAAACCTTTTCCTATGCATTTTACTTACATATACACAGTATATATAATCGCTTGTATGGTTGCATGGGATGCATTATACAGAAGCATTCCGTAAAAACGAAAGTAGACTGCATGATTCATGGCTCACAAAAACATTCCACACACAAAAGCACAAACGTTTGAATGACTATAACAAAATATTCCGCAAACACAAAAGCACAAGGGTTTGGATGACTCACAAAAACATTCCGCAACGATTGACGAGCCTAAAGATATGTAACTATAATTTTTTAAGGGGGGGGGGCAAATTTCCAAAGGGGGGCCATATTTCCTAGGAAATATGACCAGGGGGGGGCAATTAAAGGGGGGCATATTTCCTAATGAATTATGACCAGGGGGGGAATTTCCTAAGGGGGAATGACTATAACAAAACATTTCCTAGGAAATATGACCACGGGGGGGAAATTTGCGGGGGGGGAGCAAATTTGCGGGGCGGGTGGGGGGCAAGTTTCCTGTGACACCGGATTCTAACTCACTGCAATTCGGCAGAAATACTTAAGGCTTGTTGAATTACTGATAACTATGATAATACAGACCTGCACTATTAATGAGGGAAATTCGACCTTAAAGAGCCCAGGTCACACTACACAACGATAACAATACGATAACCTGTATACGCGCGCTGATTGGTCAAAAATTTATCGTTATCTTCCGACTGAAAAAAAATCGCTCAGGTGAGCGATTTTAAAATCGTTATCGTTATCGTCTAACGATAATTTTATCATTTTCGTTGTTGTGTGGACACTAACACAACTTTTTTTCCCAATTATCGCGTGTTTACAATTTATCGTATCGTTATCGTTGTGTAGTGTGACCGGGCCTTAATCGTCCCTCGTCAAACAAAGGATCTCGAGGTAACCATGATACTGATAAAGGAAACACGGACCATAGGAGCGACGTTTTGGTAAGTGGGGGATGCAATCAAAATGGCAGTCGATTTAGTAACTTTGTTTATAAAAAACTGTATATATATATATATATATATATATATATATATATATATATATATATATATATATATATATTATATATATATATATATAATATATATATATATATATATATATATATATATATATATTATATATATATATATATATATATATTTATATATATATATATACGGTATATATATATATATTTATATAGCCTATATATACAATAAAAACATGCATTATACTATTAAAAAGATTCTTATAGCCTATATATACAATAAAAACATGCATTATACTATTAAAAAGATTCTTATAGACTACAAATATGAGACTTATTCTCAAGTTCTAAAACATGTATGTAAACAGTTCGTTTAAATTTTGAGAAAGTTATTATTTCTCTAATGTTTGACGGTAAAGAGTTCAGAGTTGACAGTCGTCCAATAAATATATAAAATTATTAATATCTAAAGTTCATCATCATCAGATTCCTCAGAATTTTCATGGGTATTTTCAAGTTCTTTTTCCAATTCGCGCATTTTTTTTACACGTGGATGGGTTTCAGAGTACACCTTCAAAATCATGTTCAAAGCATTATAAAGGTATTCTTTTGCTTTCTCTGTTTCTCCACGTTGTTTCAACGCTACAGCTATATTTCCAAGTGTTTCACTAATACTCACTCCTTGAAACCCATGCTCCTGTAAATTTTCAAAAACTTCAAGAGCCTCTTCAAATTTTGTTTGAGCTGTAATTGGATCACCAAGAGCCAGATAAATATGCCCAAGACCATTTAATGATGTTGCAGCTCCGGAGCTGTTTTCTTTAAGTGTTTTTCGAAAAATACTAATGCACTTTTTAGCATTTTCTAAGGCATCGTTGAGCATGTTCAGTTCTCTTTGCGTATTAGAAAGATCATGAAGTACTTCAGCGACTTGATAATGTTCATCTCCATAATATTGCTGCATTATTTACAAAGATCTCGACAACATTTGAAGTGATTTTTGGAGATCACCTTTGGCACGATAGGTGAACCCAAGAACATACAACGTTTGTGCCACGTTGGGGTGGTAATCACCATGAATTTCCTCGTGAATACTGAGTGCTTCTAACAAGGCGTCAACGCTTTCATGGTATTTCCCTAAAGAGTAATAACAGGTCGATAAAGTGTTTAAAACTCTCGCCACTCGTTGGTCACGTGAGCCATATGCTTCTCTAAGCAGCTTCAGGGTTTCTTGATATATTTCAAGAGCTTTACGGAACTCTCCGAGACGATTGTAAACTACGGCCAGATTTAGTAAGAACGCAGCTACTCGGCCGTTTTCCTTCGGAGAGAAAATCTGTCTGCCAAGTTCCACTGCCTCTTCGTGACAAGTTTGAGCTTTATCAAGATTTTTCTGGTATCGATGAATTATTCCAAGCAAGTGTAGTGATGTTGCTTTTTCATTCTTTAAATTATACCTTTCAGAAAGATCCAATGCAAGTTGATGAAATTCTTGCGCTTTTGACATATTTTGAGCAAGGTCACGGTATACAGTTCCAATCATATTAATCAACAATGCTGTCTTCTCAATTGAATACTGATCAGCGTTTGCTAAGGAGTTCCGAGCAAAGTTCTCATTCATTCTTACAATCCTTTCTAAATTTCTAGGTTCTTGGTTTCCAGTGTTATGAAAAAAGAGAACGGACAAAAGTAAAGCAATTTCTGCGTTATCTTTCTCAAAGCTTTCTTCTACCATATCTACAAGAAAATCCACCTCCGGCATTACTACGGCGGACTAGTGTGGTTGTTAGGCCAATATAGATAGGCTTCAGTTATCGAATCGAGAAATACCCAACAAAATTCTTTTCCGATAACATTATATAAGTTCAGTTGTTTCTCGCGCATCTTTGTGATAAGAGACATTACCACATCAACGACTTTGAAACTTAAACTTGTATATTCCACCATCTGATTAACGGATGGGTCATGCTTACTGGTAAGCTCTGATTTTAAAACCTCAAAAATCCTCGCAATTGAAGTTTCAAACACGTCGCTTTGATCTTTCTTGTTCTCTGCTCTTTTATTCCAGGCATCAAACGACGCATATCTTGTAATTTGATGTGTAGAAATGAGACTATGTTCAGGATAACTTGTCACGTCGTACAGCGAGGTCTTTCTAACCAAAGTCTTTACTTCAAATTCGGAGTAGTCTTTTAATTTTAAAACGCCGTCCAGACCAACGTACTTTACAAGAAACTTCAAGGAGATTACAGGAGAGCCACAGTATCCAACAAAGAAGGCTAGGGCTTCGTAAAAGTGTCCATGACTGGGGTCCTGGAAATATTGCTCAACTAGCATTCGTGATGCAGTAAACGCGGTGGAATCGTAAGTTAAACCATGATCTGTGCCTTCAGCCCAAGAGAAATTGACATTGGATACATATCGCTTTTTGTTCAATTCTAATTCTTGCAAATAGAAGCGATAAGATGCATTGTGTCGGCTATCCATTTGAATATAAATAGCGGCATCAGCAAGTGATTTAGGCAACCCGCCGAGTGCATTTGCAAGGTAAGTAGCATTCTGGTCATCGTTTTGAATATTGGTAATTGTATTCAACAATTTTACCGCTTCATCAGTCGGCATTGGTTCAAACAAGTCTTTGTAACCCATCACTGAACGAAATATCGTTGTCGGTCGACGTTGTGTAGTGACGATAATTCGTATTTCACCGTATTCCTTACTTCCAGCGTTCAAAAAATATTTACCATTCGGTCGTTTTTTGTATAGGAACGTAGACATCGGCCCTTTGGCTTTGACGTTATCAAATATGATAACTGGGCGACTCGAAAGGCTTGATCGACTTCTCAAAGCTACTCGAAGTTGATGAAATTTTGCAAAGACCGTTTCTTCATTCCCAATACAATCGTAACCCATAGGTTTCGGTTCCTTTCCTTGTATTTTATCAACGGCTTCCTCTAGCGTACTCTGAAGTTGGTTAAAGTCCTCTGCGTTTAATGTAATGACGTCTGTTGGGGGTGAAACAAACGACAAATCAAAATTGAAAATACGTTTATTTTCTGACTGGAAAATTCTTTCTCCAACTTGCCTGGCAAGTTCCGACTTTCCCGCTCCAGGTCCCCCACTTATTACGACATGAACTTCTCGTTCCGGTTTACTTCGCGTCAGTCGATTCAATTCACGAACGAGATAGACTACGTCGGCTGTTCGCTTGTACGTTGTGTGTTTGAGAGGCGTTGTTAACATTTCTATCGCCACCCGACGACCAGTATTGACAGCGAAAAGGTTCCATCTCATAAAATAGAAACAGATGACTACCACTAAGGTGGTCGAAATTGCACATGCACGACCATACGAGTATGCAAACTCGATTAGCCATATAACTGGCTCCGGCAAAATAAGACCCAGTCCATCTCGTAGAACAGCTTTCCAATTTGACATAACTTTGTTCAGTGTTGATCCGAAGGGTGACTATTAAAAATCGATTCTTTTCTGACGGTTTTTCGGTTTAGTCTCAAGTTTATTTCACGAGTTTAGCTTTAGGTTTCGTCGAAGCGATGTGCATCACTTGATCTATTAACGAGCAGATGCGTCAAAACAACCCGAAGCACAATCGACCAATAGCAGAACGCGCAAAGCATCATGGTTTTTAGTTACACAACAGACTTCTGCATCATGGCGCTCGCTAATACTATTGAGAAATTTCCCATCTTCAATCTTTTACCCTCTGACAACGTGCAAGAATTTGCCAGCGCAATAAGCAATATTCTATCTTGTAATTCAACAAGCTTAGTGACGTTTTGCATTCTGATCAATTAAACTATATGAAAAAGCATTTCACTGCCCAGGTTTAGCCCTTTTATAAAATGTATTGGAAGTATATTTTAAATGTCTGTGGTGACAAAAGCGAAAAGCCAATCACATTTCTAGATACAAACAGTAATAAAGATGGCGCTGCGCTTTCCACCGTTTGTTTTACACCCGTTTTCAAAATTATGCGACCAAGGACGAAAATGCTAGAGTGACATGTCAGTTTTATGTCATTCGGTCACGAAGTTCAAACTTTGAGTTTTGTGGTTCCTTGTCGATGTATATGCTTTGTATGCTTTATATCACAGGCTTACAATGATTTTCAAGATATTTTAATGGGAATTATTGCAAAATTTAAGCACAAACAAAATCATAACATCACCGTTATAGTCTAGCGCGCGTGTTTTATACTGACAGCTAAATTCCAGGATAAATTGTTATTTTTCAAACTTTAAAAGTTATTCACGGCACATATTTCTGTTGTGATGGTTTAATGTATTGTGCTTTAGGCCAAGTCTAAACGCCGCATTTTACATGCGTCGAATCAAATACATATTCGAGTCGACTTGAATTGACATTTTTCAAATTTTAATTCAGACGTCGAATTTAATTGTCGAATTTAATTAATTTGCAAAGCCCGTCAAATGGCGCCAAATCCAAACTACATGGCGGATGAAGTTATAAGAGAAAAAAAATGCGTTTATGCCTATCAAACATCATTCATGCCAACAGAAAACGACGACTGTTAATGGATATGGCAGTAAATAACCTCTTCGCAAGGAGAAGGCAGAAGATGCATGGTGCTCCTTATTTGTCAAGTATTATAGTGCGTGCATGGCACGCGCGTGCGAGTAAAACCCGATAACTTGAAAATTCCAAATAAATATTTCTTCTCGCCGTATATTCAAACGAAACTTTCTAACATGAGAGCGCTTGAATACATTTTACTTCCAATCTTCCATGGCCTTTGAGAGAATAACGAAAAGTTTAGTATTAAAGTTTTTTTCTCCAAATGAAATTCAGAATGTTTGGCCAAGGGTGAGTAAATGTACGATTGTTTTGGAGTTTGTGTATTGTTTTAACGGCATTTGACCCTCCGTTTAAACGGGTATTTTGTGGGAATTTCAATGGTGGTTATCGTTTACTGTAAAAGGGAGTAAATACTCGCTGAGATATTTACATTATAGAAACAATTGAATCATAATATTGTAATTGCGATATATCATATATGTCGAGAAAGAGTTGTTAAACGAGTGTATTTCGTCTCGATTGAACAAGAAAAACAGTCATCAACTTCGGCCATGCTTGCTGTAGCTGACTATCGATTGAACAAGAAAAACAGTCATCAACTTCGGCCATGCTTGCAACAAGAAAAACAGTCATCAACTTCGGCCATGCTTGCTGTAGCTGTATATACGCCTATCTGCGCATGTTATTTTGCATGAAACCCTGGAGTTATGGGTAAAAATATTTTAACATAATTTATGCATTAGATTCGACTCATGTAAAATGCGGCGTTTAAATCAACAATCGACTTTTAGTCGAATATTCGACTGAGTCAGTCGAATATTCGACTGAAGTCGCACTTAATTCAAACCTGTCGAATTTAATTGATTTAAACGTCGCATTTTACATGCATGTAATTCAATAATTTGATTCGGCGCATGTAAAATGCGGCGTTTAGACCGGGCCTTAGTTTGTATATCTAAGTTATCTAACTCATTCTTGTTCAGTTTTGGTATTAAATACGGTTTAAAATGTCTTTTGACAGTTTGTTTACGTTTGCTATTTTTAGCAGTTTTTGTGACATAAAACTGACATTTGAAGTAAGGGTATTTTTCAGGGAGGTCGCGTAATTTTGAAAACGGGTGTAATCATCCAGATGTTTCATCATTTCTCATGAAGAAAAGGAAGTATAAATTAAAATAAATTGTGCTATAATAGAATATTGTTTCGCAAAAAATATATCAATCAACAAATCAACTATAGAAAATCAACTAGAAAGAAAACGTTCTGTTGTAACGCTTAAATAATTTAAAGATAACCTCATAAAATGATATAATACTCTTATTATTAGACAATCATTCAAATCATCTCAAATTAAATCTTTTAATTGGGATTAGCTTTAGTTCAGGATATACCAAAGGCAAAGCAGAATGTCAAAATTGCTTTGCAAGAGAACTTATCGTGCTCGTCGTTTCACCAAATTTTCACCTCATTTTTTATTGTTTTTCTAAAAAGTACTGCTGGAGTGATGAAGAATGACGTTTACAGTTTTGTCATATCTCATCTCATTCTCAAGCTATCGCACTTTCTATATTTTGAGTTGTGACGTCACAAGTGTGAGTTGAGATAATGGCAATAACAAGAAAGTATGATATCTTGGTGAGTATTTAATAAAATTTAATGAAACTTGGTACACTTAGTGGGTGCAACAAAGTCAACAATTTGGCTTGTCTATGTGGTTGTTATGGCAACACACTCGTCCCCAGTCCCTTCTCTTCCAATTTCTATATGATCCATTTTCAACGAAACACTCGTGCCCAGTCCCTTCTCTTCCAATTTCTTTATGATCCATTTTCAACGAAATAGCAATTTCTGCAATTTTCGCTTATCACTATAATACGTGTAGGTATATTGTGATCAGTTTAAACCGTTATAATATGTAAACATCCTCTGCAAGAGGTCTACGGGAGGAAAGTTGTGAAAGGAAGAGAAGAGACTGGGGACTAGTGTGTTGCCATGACAACCACATGACCTACCAAAAATATTCATATGAGTTAGTGTGTTGCCATGACAACCACATGGCTTACCCAAAATATTCATATAAGCAACACCCACTAAGTGTACCAGGTTTCATTGAATTTTATTAAATACTCACCAAGATATCATACTTTCTTGTTATTGCCATTATCTCAACTCATACTTGTGACGTCACAACTCAAAATATAGAAAGTGTGATAACTTGAGAACGAGATGAGATATGACGAAACTGTAAACGTCATTCTTCATCACTCCAGCAGTACTTTTTAGAAAAACAATAAAAAATGAGGTGAAAAATTCGTTGCATAGGCACTTTAACCCATTCAAAACATTAGTGGTTCGAGTTTTACTAGATCGTGTTTTAAATATTACTATATATAAACCCAGTAATTCACTAACTAGGCACGATATGGTTTCCGTTGCTTTGTTTATCACCTGTGGGAGACGGGAAAAAATTATATTGCTGCTATATATTTGCCCAACATATTTGAAACTATAGTACTGGATGGAATATCTATATATAAACTGATCTATAGAGGTATATTAGGGGGCTTTAGCAATGACTGCGAGTACGACTACGAGTTTGGTTAATGATTTTCCAAGCAAACATTTCTCGCCATCTTATACGCCATCGCTTTTTTAACTGGGTGCAGATAAAAGGCGGAAGGACGGCGGACAGCAGACGGCGGACAACGGAGCTTTTTATAAACACATGATTGCTACCGCAACTAATTATAATACCTTAAATTAAAGTATATACCAGCCTTAGATCTGTAAAATGAATATGTTTTCATCCGTTCGAATTTTTAGCAATGAAATTTTTTAATCAGCATTCAAATTATTCAATACGTATGTATGATGACTATAGGCCGTCTTTTTCGGGAAACTTTTGGAAATATTGTAAAAAGTGCCATAGTTTTGGAGCTTCTGTCAGGCAGAATTAAATTACATTCACTTGCTGACATTTTCGTACTTTAAATAGTGCTGACTTGTTGTTTTATAATGAAAATAATCCCCGTTTTAATTATACTGAACATAAGAGGTTCACACGTAGAAATGGCCGATTTGCATGCAACGACTATTCTATACTCTAATAGAAATATTATGTGTTAGGGGCGGATCATTTGATGGAGTGAATTTTCATTGATCCCAATAATTTTCTAAACCTCCTAGTGTTGCTGTCATTCAAGGCTCTTGAACGATTTTGTTATTTCGTGGGCACATAAAGATAGGAGGTATTGAGTATACGGATCGTGATTTAAGAGAATTTTTTATAAAGTTTGGACATGCAAACGTTCACAATTGTATATATTTACAATTGTATATATTTGTCATTTCTTTAACTATATTGAGATATTGATATTTTCCTACATATTTATGTAAATATGATATATTATATTATAATATAGCATTTGTAAATTCTGAACGCTGATTGGCTAAGAGCCGTGTTGATATAACTCAATGTCAACACGGGAAATTTCCGCCGCTTGTAAACACGGAAATTGTTCTTATTCTTCGGGCTTTTGACATTGCTATATTATAAAACAAATATAAAACATTTTTTCCGTATTGATATATAGTTATATCAACACTCGTGGAAGTTGGGAAAACTCGAAATTGTGTGAAAACACTCCGCCCTTTCCCAATTTCCACTCGTGATGATATAACTGTATATCAACACGGAAAATGTTTTATATTTGTTAAATATCTACTATATATGTAAATGTAACACAGTAATCAGTGTAACAATTTGTTTGAAAAGTATATATGTAACGTCAAGTAAATTGGGCAGCGTAAATATTGGGTATTCTATTATATGTATTTGAAGGGCTTAGAGAAGGTTATAATTTCGTTTACATTTATATACAGTGGAATAGTAATGTTAAGCACTCACATGAATGGACCTTGGCTATGTGTTAGCCTTTTCGTAAGTAAAACGGGGATTATTTTCATTATAATATAAAAAACAAGTCAGCACAATATAAAGTGTGAAAATGATAGCAAGCGAATGTCATGTAATAGCCTAATAATATTTAAATAATATTAAAATTCAATTATATGATAATTCAATGAAATTAAATTCAATGATATTTAATTCTAATAATATTTTAATTCAATGGCAGTGTCAGGGCAGTTATATACAGAAGTACAAAACCTAAGGCGCTTTTTTACAATATTTCCAAAAGTTTCACGCGAAAGACGGCCAACAGCCTCCTATCATACATACGTATTGAATATTGATTAAAAAATCCCATTGTTAAAAATTCGAACGGGTGAAAACATATTCATTTCACAGATCTAAGGCTGGTATACTTTACTTTAGGGTTTTATAATTAGTTGCGGTAGTAATCATGTGTTTTGAAAATGCTCCGCTGTCCGTCGTCCGCCTTTTATCCGTCCGCTTTTTATTTACACCCTTTTTAACTTGAGCATATGTACAGCACATCCTTCACTCTATAAATATACGGCCATTAAAAAGCCATTCATCACTAAAGTCTGTCCCCTTTTGTTAGATGGAAACAAATCGATCAGTTTACTCAATACAACCCACACAAAACTGTTAACAATATATTATTATTGTGATCAATCAATTTGACAGTCAATTGATCATTTGATAACCACACAACAGTAGCGCCATAATCGTTCTGTTTTGTGGCAAAACACCAGGTTGGCAAATAGAGTTTGCCATTTCTGGCAAATAAAGTTAGCCCGCACACAGAGTAATAGACAACTTGCATGTTAGATTAATAGTTGATCTACAGGTATGGGCAAAAAAAGTAAATTCCCGTAAAGAACTTATCAAAATTAGTAAAATTGCAAAATTTGTTTACGAAATGTTGTAAAATATGGAAAATATAGCCTTGCGAAGTTTGCATATTTTGTATATGTTTGTATTACGTGCGGAAATTGTTACCATTTTTGAGCCGAAAATGGTAACAATTTCCGCACGTAATACAAACATATATACAAAATTTGCAAACTTTGCAAGGCTATATTTTCTAAGCTTTACATCACTTTGCAACCAAATTTTGCAATTTTACTAATTTCATTATGTTCTTTTTAGCTGTGCTGTTTGATTCCCTTCTCGTTACTTAGATTAAAATTTAGTCTAACATGCAAGTTGTCCATTTGATATAGAGGTCTCACTTCTGCGCAAAAACCGTAAATACTAAAGACCGATCCACACTACTCAACCGTTTTGCCTAAAACTGTCACATGCAACCTGCTTACAACTTGAGTTGTACTCAGTGTAAATCAATCACGCAACTCGTCTACGACAACACAGGTGGGTTGTGTGCTTGATTTACACAGTACAACTCAAGTTGTAAGCAGGTTGCATGCGACAGTTTTAGGCAAAAGTTGTCGGTAGTGTAATTCGGCCTTAAGGTAGTTTTTACTGCGCATATATCTGGCGCCAATGTTCTTAGCAAGTGCCTACTAACTCTTGACGAAGGGCCTTCGCTCGAAACGTCGAGTTTCGTAAGTAATATAAGGTAGTAATATAACCACTCAGCACAGCATTTTCACATTGGTACTACCCACACTGGTACAGACAGTTTTAGTATGCATTCACCCCCCTGGAACATTAAATTTCAATATGTTTTCAGGGGGGTGACGGCCTCTCTTCGGGGCACTTGCTAAGAACATGGCGAACTGGAAAATTCCCTTAAATCCTTATATTTTTCAGGTTGTTGCATCCCTACAAACGAAAGCTTGTTCATATTATTGCCACTATACCCACACTGGTACAAACAGTTCAAGATTACCAGTGTGACCATATATGCAAATTTTTTTACTAAAGCTGCTTAAAATTGGTTGGCTGCCCCCTCCTGTTCTTAATGTTGCAGTTGTTTAAAGCAGATGGGGCTGTCTAAGGGCATCCAACCGGATCTGGTAATAAAATGTACTAAACCTGGTCACACTGAAGATTACCTTCTTGATACTAACTTCGCGCAGGGCGCCAGAAACGTCGAAGTTATCCTTGTATTTTTTAAGCCTAGTTATATGTAAGAACAGTTATGATTTTACATAAAGCAATATACAATTGTGAACCATTGTCTGTTTATATGTACCTTCGCCCATTTGAAATCTCGCATTATCCGGATACGAGATTTTCATTAAGGTGTAAAGAAGACAAATTATTATTAAAGTGCCTATGACACGAAATTTCACCCCAAATATTTATGGTTGCATTGTAAAGATTACTTAAAATGACTTAATAATTTCTTTTCTAGAATTTTGGTAACTTGCTTCCTTTTCAAGATATTCAACTTTGTTTCATATGCAAATATCACCGGTGTGACATCACATCGCTTAATGAGTTTTCAGAAAAGTATAGTTTTCTTGACGAATACGGATCTAAAAAACTTAAAAATTGCTCTTGTATATGGATTAATTTCATAACTGGTAATTAACCCTCTGTATTTGTTTGTAAAAATATTTTATCAAGGTAAAATATTGCGTTTTCAAAATGTCATTATGCGATGTGATGTCACACCGGTGATATTTGCATATGAAACAAAGTTGAATATCTTGCAAAGGAAGCAAGTTACCAAAATTCTATAAAAGAAATTATTAAGTCATTTTAAGTGATCTTTACAATGCAATCATAAACATATGGGGTGAAATTTCGTGTCATAGGCACTTTAAAGAAGCCGGGGAGTATAAGAAGAAGACGTTCTTAGCTACTAGCGTTCATAACTAGAGCAATAGACATCTGGAATAACTTGAGCATAGAAACCAAAAACATTGCCTTCAAAGAAAATTTCAAATCCGCTATTAGAAAACAGATGCATTGAATGCTCGTATAGTAAAATATTCCTATAATTTTTATATACGTATATATTGTAAATAGTATAAGACATGTATGTTGACCTGAATTCTTGAACTAACCAACTACTAATTAATTTTATAGTATAGACCTTGTGTAAACTAGCATTAGCTAACTAAGGATCTAATTAAATACAAATATACGTCCCTATCAATTCGAAGCTTTCTTAAAGGCACAGTTCAGCCTTTTGAATGATGGAGTTCAAAGGCGCATTTCAGCCCTTTTTAATAAAAAAACTAACTAGGAAAATCAATTGTGCATAATTCAAGATCAGTAAACTCAATGTTTTTAACAATAAAAATGCTTTAAAATGTTAAAAACATTATGTTTGCTGATCTTGAATTATGCACAATTGATTTTCCTAGTTAATTTTTTAATTAAAAAGGGCTGAAATGCGCCTTAAAAACCATCGTTCAAAAGGCTGAACTGTGCCTTTAAATTAAAGTGCATCAAACCTCAATTCTTCTCAACATCTCATTCCTAAGAACCTTTGAAATGATATCGAAGTTATAAGCATACTCGTCTAGGCACACGCTGAATACGGTAGAGGTACGCCAGATGTACGGGCATACGCTGGCATTTCAAAGGATTTTTGTGCGTATGAAAATTATTTCATTAATTTTCGTACGCCTCTCATACGTTTCTCTCATACGCAATAGTGTGACAGGGCCTTAAGGTACAGTAGCTAAATATCATGAAATAAAAAGGCTAAATGGTGTTCAGTAGGTATGTAATCCTCCCACAACTCCAAATTTCATTTTAATGAATTAAACTCGATAGTGAATACGATATACAAGCTTTTGTTATGCATTGGACCATTTGCATTATAGACTAAATTTTGATCTTGACAAAAATTTCATCACTGCTTGAAAGAGCCGCATCACAAAATTAGTAATATTCCAAAGTTTCGTTGCGAAATGTTGTAAAATGCGGATAATATAGCCATGCCAAGTTTGCCGTTTTTCAGTCATTACGCACGGGAAATTGACAGCCCAATCGGGTGTTGGGGCATCAATTTCCCGTTTGTAATACAAAATGACTGAAAATTGCAAATTTCATAAGGCTACATTATCCGCATTTTACAACATTTCGCAACGAAACTTTGAAATATTACTAATTCTGTGATGCTCTTTCAAGCTGTGATGAAATTTTTTTCTAGATCAAAATTTAGTCTATAATGCAAATGGTCAATTCTGGATATAAATTTGCATACCAAACAAACTGAAATATCTCAGAAACAAAGTGAGCAAACGAAAATCTTCAAAATAAGTTATTATATCATTTCAGAAGTTCTTAAGAACGAGATTAAAAAAGTAATTGAGGTTAGGTGCACTTCAATTAACCGGTTACGTTGGCCGATATAAGGGTCACCTCTGCTGCGTGGAAATGCGACTTTGCTGCAAGGAAATGCGATTGTGTTGCGTCGCGAAATTCGACCATGCTGCATGTGGAAAGCTTTGCTAGTTGCAGACAGATAAAAGCCGATGTTTTTGACAAAAACAAAACAAAAGAGTTATATTTATCGCTTTGAAAACCCGCAGAGAACAAACTAGCATCGTAATGTCAAAAACACAAAACAAACCTGCACGCCAACGCGCTAAAAGCCAACCCAATCACTTAGAATCACGCAGCTCGTTCCCTGCTAAGATTTTGAAAAGGAGTTGTCACCTAATCGCTTGTTTACCATCGAACGCCACTGGACATCGGTTGCTAAGACTCGATCCTTGGTCAATGAACTGTAACGTGGTGCATTGGGGGCAAAAATGCAATAGTTTATCTCATTCATTTTTCATATTTAATTCATACATTGAGAGTTTGGGAATAGTTTTAGGTGCACTAACGTCCAGATTAGGTATTACTTCACAATGATCACGGGAACCAACAAGTATATTTTCATAAAAACTGCATGCACGCAGGTGACGCAGCAATCAATACTCAAAAAAACGAAAGCATGTTTATTCGTCAATTCATTCATCCGTCAAAACACTTCAATATTTCGAAAGTTATAGAGCATGCATGTCCGACAGAAAGTTGCATTTGACCGCGAAGAAGGCCGATATTCAAGGTGTGCAATTGTGTACAGTTCCGACCACAGAATACGGCAGCTTATCTTCCATCTGCCCTCGACGCAATTTTGATAAATCGCGGTTGAGAAAATCAGCGTGGATTATTTCATGTATATAAAGGCTTTTTTACACTATCAAAGATTTTTTTCTCTGTTGGTGTTGTGTACCACGTGAATAAGATGCTTGTGATGTTACTCTGAGTGTATATCCACACCGGGCAGGCTTGAAAAATATGCCTGGCCACGGCGGGAATCGAACCTACGACCTTTGGCCAGGCATATTTTTCAAGCTTGCCCGGTGTGGATATACACTCAGAGTAACATCACAAGCATCATATTCACCTGAGAACATTACACCAACACAGAAAAATCATGATTATTAGATTACATTGGTATCGAAGGAACTAGATTCGGTTCCGAAATATCACATACTTGAACCGACCTGACCGCGTAGCTCAATTGGCAGAGCATTGGGCTAGTATTCCAAAGGTCGTAGGTTCGATTCCCGCCGTGTCCGGGCATATTTTCAAGCTTGCCCGGTGTGGATATACACTCAGAGTAACATCTGACAAGCATACTATCAAAGTTTCTGTGATCACAGTAGGAATTTTGCATAGGTAAATCAGTTCTAAGTTTTAAAGGATTTGTAAGATGTTTGCCAGTGAGGGAACTGTCGAACTGACTTATAGTTAAACGATGATTCGATATTTTTCTAGATTCGATATTTCTAGATTCGATTTCCCAAAGATATTTCTAGATTTTGTTAAATGTTTCCTCGTCCGAACCCAAAATTCTTGACGTCATTCTCCAAGTGGTATTCCAGTATTACTTCCTGTAAAAAATGTACGCCTTTCCGACGTATATACCCGCATGACTCAAGATACTGGAATAGGAGTGATGCATTCACTGAATTTTGAAAATTTTCCAAAAAAATATCTTTAAAGAAGAACTGTTAAAATTGCTCGTTTGTCAACTTGATTTCTGTGATCACCGTAGAAATTTTGCATATGGGTGAATTCTAAGTTTTGAAGAATTTGTCAGAAACGCCAGCAAACAATTTTGACAAAGACACTTGTCTTTTTTTAAATACTGTCTGATTCAGAAGTCCCAAACTGAAAGCATTAACTTCTTTTCACGCGTGTAACTGTGACATTCTCGCTTTTTCATATATTCCTGCATCTTTTGTGTGTGTCAGTGAATATACGGGCAAGCTGAACAGTTTGGCTGATCACGGGGTGGGAATCGAACGCGCGACCTTTGGGATACTAGTCCAATGCTCTGCCAACTGAACTACGAGGTCAAGTCGGTTCGAGTTTGTGATATTTCGGAACTGAGTCTAGTTCTTCGAAATCAGTCAATACCTACTTTTTGTTTTAAAATACATCATATTTCAGAATACATTGATATCGAAGGAACTAGACTCGTTCCAAAACGACGGAAATGTCACTAACTCGAACCGACTTGACCTCGTAGCTCAGTTGGCAGAGCATTGGACTAGTGTCCCAAAGGTCGCACGGGCTCGATTCCCATCGTGGTCAGGCAAACCTTTCAGCTTGCCCGGTGTGGATGCAAGAATTGAACCTGCGGACCGGCGACAGGGAGACAGTTGTCGAGCTCTAACCATAAGTTTATGTATAAATGCTACTAAGGCGATCACGATGCCAATGTATGGCCTATGGGAAAAAATATTTTTGAACGGATTTGTGTATATGGGCATGGCAATTTCGAGTGGAATTAGCATTCATCTTCATATGTAAAATAGAGTGAAGTATTTAATATCCTGTTTGTAGAACATGCTAAAATTCTATAGAAAGGCCAATTTACACTATACACAACTCTTGCCTAAAACTGTCGCATGCAACCTGCTTACAACTTGAGTTGTACTGTGTAAATCAGTCACACAACTCACCCACGACACTCGTAGACTAGTTGTATGCTTCATTCACACGGGTCAACTCGAGTTGTAAGCATGTTGCATGCGACAGTTTTAGGCAAACGTTGTGTAGTGTGAATTGGTCTTAAAACTAGTGTTGTCAAATTGAACTGGCCCTATATAGAAAGCGTGCATGTGGTACAATGATACCGAGGAATCGTGTATCACAACTATGAAGAAATATTATTGGTAAATCTTCAAATTTGGAAATACGCTTCTGTAAAACAACATGTAATCATGACAAAATTACAGATAATGTCGAATATAGCACATAATCTCCCGAGCTTTACTATGTATAAAAATTTTGTTTAATACGTGATGAACTTGAAAACATGATGCGGCAATTAAGGCCAAAAATAAGGGAGGAAACTCATTAAGAATATATAATTTCATTCCATTGAAACTGTGAAATAATGGCGAGTAATGCTTCCTATAATTTCAAAACACCGATACATGCTTTCAATGTCAATGACACGAGCTTCCCTTAATTATGTAAATTCCTTTTTTGCCTTTTGAATATATTAAAATGGAATGAAACAATTGTCTGCTCGTCGATTACTTTAAAGCTTGCCTTAACGATTCTCTTAATGTTTTAATCGCTTTACAACGAGACACGGACGAGCTCGGAACGGCTGTACGTATGCAGTTTTAATGAAGGGTTTGGGAAAACGCCGGTCTGATTAGAATTTACATAACTTCAAATACAGTTACAGACGGATAGCCGAGAATACCTTTGTTTCGTTAATTGTGATAACGACAGAAACTCGTTCTTAAAAGACGCATCGACGTGCAATATATCTGTTAGGAAACAAGCAAAGATCGACTATCGTTGAACGGTCATTTTACAAAGAAAGGTAAGCTAAATTTAGTATTGTCGTTAGATATAGCCCTTCAAATAGTGATACTTCGTTTTCGTATGAAGACTGTTTGAATGTGGGGAACCCGACCGCATGCACGAGTTTCGCACCTATAGTAAATATAGTACATTTACTAATAGATTTGTGAATCTGATTTATGAAACTGTCAACAAAAATGTAGCAAGCAACGGCTGCATGGTTTGCTAATGTAGTACGATAAGTCAAACGAGATTTCTCTGGTGTTTACACAAAAGCATATTTTTACGTTGTTTACAGTATATGTGGGAAGCTGCAGTCGGGGACGCGACATTCGTAATTTATAAATGACAGCAAATACGATGTTTTGAATAATGTTCCAATATATCTGACTTATCTACTCGATCAGTGGACTATATGACTATTCCGAAACCTATATAACAAATTCCTATAATCTGAGCAAATGAACGAACAAGAGTACGGGAATTATATTTAAAAGAGCTATAGCAATTACGTATGTAGAGAGTGAACAACACGCGCGCGAAGGAAGATGATCTTCGATGATGCGGTTCCAAATCTTTCCGCAAAAAATTCTTCGCATCGAAAATAGGGTTGGCGTTAATATCAGAGGCGATTTCACGGCTTCGTACTTTCAACGACAGCCATTTTTATTCAGGCTCCACGCTTTGAAACGCCGCTGTGTGCGTGGTTGTTTCTGTCAAAACATACATTTGACATGAGGCAGGATTAGGCAGATACATTCTAGATCGAGTGATCGATATAGAATTCGAACAGCGCGCGCAAGGAGATTTCAACCAGAATATTCTGAGGCGAATAGCATCCATCAAGTGCCCGTATACAAGGCACTTAGTAACTGATAGGCCTACACTACAAAGGCTTGTGTGATTTCGCGAACCACGTCAGATGACGGTTCTACACTATCAAAGTTTCTGTGATCACAGTAGGAATTTTGCATAGGTAAATTCTAAGTTTTGAAGGATTTGTAAGAAATGTTTCTGGAAACTTACTCAGAGTTAAACACTGTATCAGTTTCCTCAAACATTTCTTACAAATCATTCAAAACGTAGAATTTACCTACGCAAAATTCCTGCTGTGATCACAGAAATCTTGATTGTGTAGAGCAGACTTAAAATACAGTTGACGCACCGTGTTCTAGCGTGCAAGATGTGTTGGTGAGAATATTTCGCGGGCTTCAATGTGGGTCTGAACTTGTTTTCTCGATTGCTTAAGGCCTTGGTTTCCATGGTCGTAAAGAGTCACGATCTTTCTCAACGGCCAGTTTATAATAGTTTATACCTGTAAACCACATATAAATCATAAGTATTCTCTAGTTTTTATCACTCCGCGCTGTACTTTCAGTCCAGTCAAATGTTCGGTATTTCGGCTGATGAGAAAGATCGTGACTCAATCTTTACGACCACTACATGAAAACCAGGTCAGTTCATCGATGCTACAGGTTCGAATCGAGCTTCAGGGCTCATGGTTATGTTGACAAAACAATGTTTGACAATCTAGGGTTTTACTGTGGAGAATATATGGCCTACAATCTTCAATTATTAATGAGCAAGCACTGGAAAACGAAAGATTGATTCGAGTGCATATAGAAATTTGTGATAATGTAAGTTTTAAAAAAGCGGCATGCGACTGACCCAGAAATACGTGCACGCTGTTTCGTTTTCCCTTGCATGTTAAGTCAAGAGGTTTAATTTAAAATGCAAACTTTAGAGTATCTCTTGAGAGCTTGCCATTCTCATATATGTCGGTACTTAAAAACATTTCCGCGTAGAATAATCAGGATTATTAAGTCACGAACATTCCAAAATGGAAAGCTGGAAAAAAAGGCGGTTCCAAAACAGCTTTCGGCTTATATTGGCCTTCTCCACAACCATCCCCAAAGATATAAAACAGCGGCGAAGAGCACTCACTGTCAAACTTCTGCTTGTATTTAACTTTATAGGTATATACCCTGTTGTATCTCATGCAATCGACAGTTTCTTGTCAACGAATTTTCCCCTTTACTCTGCAGTGTAAGAATAATATGAATGAACTATATATACAATATATATAATAACTATATATAGCTTAAGTTTTTGGTTTACAAAAAAACAAACAGTGCTCAATACCATATAGATAGAGCGTCATATAGTTTTTCCTTTTACCTCAAAAAAACCACAAGGTAAAACGAAAACATATAGACATAGTTTTTCGTTTTACCTCAAAAAAAAAACACAGGTAAAACGAAAAACTATAGTATAATAACTGCATATAAATATATTTTTGCTATATTGGCCTTTCTAGAATATTATAATTTCTTTTTCAGTTCATTACTTTCTGCTTGAATTTTGCATGTTTTTATGAGCGTTAATTTGAACTCAGTACAAGCTGCAGTATACGTTTGAAACGCACTCCGGCAATCATGTCTTTGAAAGCTAAGCCTTATAGGTGTATGTAAAAATGAAGTCAGCGTTTTTGGGTTAAATTACGTGACGCGGAAATATTTTTTCTCGTGAGCATATAGAGTATAAGAATGAAAATCGCATTTGAAAAGCTTGAAAAACTAGTCTCCGTCAAGCCTTCGTAAAATAAACCTCAGACAATTTCAAGTTGTGTCCGCGGGAAATTTATGGGCCTAAAACTATGGTTCATTTTCATATAATTCCTTCAAAAATCTTTTTGCTATTTCATAAGCAATATATACTTTCTTTATACAGTACGGCTAAAGGCAAATCCAATCCCCTATCAAACCATGTTATTACTCCTCAATAACAAAGCTTTTCGCTAAAAGAAATATACGTAATCATTGTAATGCACGTAAGCGAGCTTCACTTATCTATAAAATCAATCAATAGAAAAATTTCACGCGTCTGCGAATACGAAAATGACCTATACTCTATATATAGCTCAATGAAAACTTCATTTTTTTTTTTCAACATAATTTCTGTCGGCTAGCGTACATATAATGTAATGACTAATGATATAAAAATACATGCAAATAGATTGTTTCATTCGCTGCAACAGACCAAAATATATAAATTTTTAAATTTCATCAAGGATCAGTAGTCATTTATTGACAATAATGACAGCAGGGTTCCAGCTTTGCGTCAACAGACGAATTTGCTCCCCACGTGCAATAATGACAGCATTCAGGCCGAAAATAATACTACCCTTTATTTATAATACACGTAAACTTCTTTATACTTTGACAAAGAACATAAAGCCCTTTTATTTGTGCGAGTTTTAAGCCTAAAATGACTGCCAAAATAAGTCGAATTATTCTAGCTGTTGCGAAGTTGCCCAAAATAGACCAAAGCAATAATTCAATTGTAATACGGCTATATTTTATAGTCAATTTCAACTCTTTATATTTTAAGAACGGCTCATAAAAGCCCTTCCGTTTGTGACTATATCTTTTAGTCTCGAAAGGTCTTGTTCAAAAACAGAATAATTATTCAAAACGCGGTTTGCCATAACATATGCATATGCGATATAGAATTAACCCTTTGTCTCAAAACGGATTTGTGAAGTTTATCAACCTCATTAGCGCATAAGAATTAATGAAAACACGAAAGATTTCGTCGTCCGTAAAAACAAGTCTCAGAATAACTGTCTGAGCCAATTCAAAAATCTGTCTTTCTCGCACGGCTAAGAATTCTGGGAAAATTGAAAACAGATCAAGATGTTTTTGACACACTGTCATTGTTTGGGGAATGTTGTTTTGAGATCATATTATAGTTTTCTTCATCAAATATTTACCAAGGATTATTGAACGGGAGACAACGCGATAATAATGATATGATTTTGGGAAACAGCTGCGGGACTGCTGTGGTCTCTATATGTACAGCTGGAGTAATATATTCAGTACAGAGCTTGTATTCACACCTCTTAAACACCTCAACAGTTAAAACTAATAAATATACTTTTCCCTTGGTTTTATATGACTATATTCAAATTCCTAAGTTTTTTATACGTTTCTCCAGCGGCAAACAAACTTAAAAAGTATGTGCTTTATCTCAGTAAAATTATACTAAAATGTTAAATGAAGAGATATTAGATGGTACGCCAAAGTCAAAGAGAAAATGATATCTGAAGATCAGTAAGTTTTGCCGCTTATATTGCTGTATAAAAATGGCGCCAATTTTACAGCATCAATTATAATTGCATTTAAATTACTATTATTTTGTGTTTCTCAAACGCCAGATACATTTAAAAAGGCTGCCAACTGTCTAAACTATAAAAAAAGTTACATTGCATGAATAATTTATGCCTGTATATGCATTGTACACCGAGCTTCGTATGTCCTTAGAAATAGACTTTACATCCCTGAGCTGCTAACACTAGCAACCATTTTGGTAAATTACGCCAACCTATCAAATCCGTTTGCTATTCCAGAGCCGGATTAACGCTTCGCGTGGCCAGTGACGTATTAGACAGATTTAGATCGAGGACGCGGACGTCAAAGACGACGTGAAAATGGCGTCAAAATGGCGTGGTATACCCGTACATGGGCACAACACGCCATTTTCACGTCGTCTTTGATGTCCGCGTCCTCGATCTAATCTGTCTATTACCCCCAACGGCTTTTAAACACTGAATTCAAATTCAACTTGAAAATGATGCACGCTGTAGCATCGAAACGTCGTTTAATAAATCACAGTTTAATATAGACTGTGAATAAATGTAATGTCGCTATCATTTGTTTCAAAATTATTTTGAATTCAAAAAAGATTCAAAAATATCCTCTTGTATTCCATGCGTTGAAAAGTTGCCTTTGTATTTACAAAAAAATAGAAATATAATATACATCAGTAAGTTGAACTAAATGCAATAATATCAGCAATAATATCATATGACAAATACTAACCTGAAAGTTTATACCTACTATACGCATTATGTTTGGTTGGGCTCCGCGCCGAAACAGGGAACGGAAGATCGAAAAGAGTATAAGCGAGGGACGCCTACGTACTCTACCTTCAAAACTGCGCATAAATGAATAGAATAACTGCAATGTAACTTTCAACGAGTGGAGTTTCACCGTTTTTGGTGACATAATAACACCTATCGAGTTGATTGAGAACTTCTTGAAAAGTACAATCTTTCATAAGGTCACGTAGCAATAATAATTTTCATGACCCCATGACGCAAATTGAAATGGCTCATTCACGTAACAAAATATCATTTCATTCCCATCAAAACGAAACTAACCTTATTTTCCCCATTCTTGCAAGCAGATACAGCTTTCGAAATGAAGTCCATGTTTCTGGCGCTCCTTGGAACGATTCTTCTTGGTATTATAGACCACGGTAGGTGACTAAACTAAGAATAATATTAGGGCTATTAGATTACTCCGACCGGTTGTATGTTGTATATGAGAGGCAATGGCAGAGGTAAATAGTAAACTACGCTATACTTACATGTAGTGTGAAAGTCAACTAATTAAAATCGCGTTTTACAAGGTCAAAACGTATAGTTCATGAAACCGGCCGCAGTATTTCATAACTTACTTTATTTATACTGGATAGCTCTATCAGTTCTAAAATGTTCTTACCAGATGTCCAGTAAGGATCGTCTCTTATATTGATCTAGCGTTACTATAAGAGAAAACCTAAACTAACTTTATTTATACTGGATAGCTCTATCAGTTCTAAATTGTTCTCCCTAGACGGTCAAGTAAGGATAATCTGTTATTGATCCAGTATTACCTTTAGAGGAAACCCAAACCAACTTTATTTACACTGGATAGTTCTGTCAGTTCTAAACTGTTCTCCCTAGAGGTCCAGTAAGAGTCACCTCTTATTGATCCAGTGTTACCACAGGAGGAAACCTAAACTAAATTAACATTTATACTGGATAGTTCTATCAGTTCTAAACTGTTCTCCCTGGAGGTCCAGTATGGATCATCTCTCATTGATCCAGTGTTAGTGCAGGAGGAAACCTAAACTAAACTAACTTTATTTATACTGGATAGCTCTATCAGTTCTAAACTGTTCTCCCTGGAGGTCCAGTAAGGATCATCTCTTATTGATCCAGTGTTAGTGCAGGAGGAAACCTAAACTAAACTAACTTTATTTGTACTGGATAGTTCTATCAGTTCTAAACTGTTCTCCCTGCAGGTCCAGTAAAGATCATCTCTTATTGATCCAGTGTTACCACAGGAGGAAACCTAAACTAAACTAACATTTGTACTGGACAGCTCTAAATTGTTAATTATTCTCACTACAGAGGTCCAGTGAGGGTCATCTCTCAATCTCAAACTCAATAATTCATGAGTAAATTAGCCAACCATATTGCTTTATTTTGCTCACATGATAATACTGGAATACCTGGATCAAAATTAATTCAGTCCAAGGACTGGATCAAAATTAATTCACCTCACTTTAGATAGTGATTTATTAGTCATTCAAATCCTCCAATTCGGACTAGACTAGATTTCAAGTGCCCGCATTTTGTTCCAGTCCCCGGCTTTGCCTCGGGTTTGATCAAATTACGCGGACTTGAAATCTAGTCCAGTCCTCGGATTTGAAATATTACTTCTTACATGCAACCGATGTGAAATTATAATCGGAATCAAACCCCAGGCGCAGAAATCACAAACCACTAATATACTGTGCAATATCTAATATCAAGGCATTTTTTAATACCATGAACTGGTGGGGCATTTGCCCCACTGGGCCCCTTCCTCTGCCCCACCACTGAAGAAAAGAAATGGCCTATCGCCCCAAAGCCAGGACTCTAGGACCTGCATTGAGTAAATGAGCTTAACATTGAAAGGAAGTTTAAAAAACAAAATTTTTTGGTGAGCATGTTTATAGCATGCAATTTATTACAAATTTCACCATTAAAACTTTGTTTCGAGAAGCTGAGATTTTTTTAAAATGTGTTCTCAGAATGCAGGAAGTGCTATTTCAGAGACCCAAATTTTAAAAATGTCCTGGGGACATGCCTCCCAGACCCCCCTAGCTAACTCGCGCCGGTGGTACTTGCCTTACACCTTCGGCGATCGCATACTATCCAGGGGGGAGGGCGAAAAAAATGGGCCCTTAAGCAGTTTTGCCCCACCACTGAAGAATCCTTAAAAAATGCACTGTCTAATATATGGATTGAATTTCTCCAATAGGAAACAGTGAGCCTTATTTTGCTCAGGAGCCAGGCGATTTCACAGGATTCCAAAGAACATTCAGAGATCAGCTGTCAAGTGTCGTTAGGGGAGCAGTGAACCCCACCTATCAATGGTTTCATAATGGATCAACTATGAACCAGAAAACCGCGATTGGTACCACAAATACGAGAGTGATGTTTTTTCAGACAAGCCTGGCATCCCAGGGAATCTACCAGTTAATCGTATCGTCAAAGATGGGCAGGATTTTTGGACGTGAAATAAAGGTGGAATTTATAGGTAAGGTTCTCTATAATTGTCCTTAGGTAGTTGGGACACAAACCACGACAGCTTATTGCAGAATACTACCTACACTGGACCACCACGTTTGATATAATTGTCCTTAGGTAGTTGGGACACAAACCACGACAGCTTATTGCAGAATACTACCTACACTGGACCACCACGTTTGAGATATCTTTTTCAGGTATTTCAGACACAAACCACGACAGCTTATTGTAGAACACTACCTACACTTGACCACCACGTTTGAGATATCTTTTTCAGGTAGTTCAGACACAAACCACGACAGCTTATTGTAGAATACTACCTACACTTGACCACCACGTTTGAGATATCTTTTTCAGGTAGTTCAGACACAAACCACGACAGCTTATTGTAGAATACTACCTACACTGGACCACCACGTTTGAGATATCTTTTCAGGTAGTTCAGACACAAACCATCGCCTTCTTTTTCCTAGTGTTGGGCCAATTTTTAGACAAAACTAAAACCACTCACAATGTTGTGATTGGCCAACAGTTGCAAATAGAATGCCCTGCACATTCGTTCACAAAACACGCCGTGTATAAATGGGGAGGTACGGGCAGTGTAACAGGAACATGGTTCCTCAATGGACGAGCAAATGTTTTGGTCCTTGGCGATGGGCGATTGTTCTTTTCGCACGTGACCAAAGACGTCGTGGACTTTATTGAACAACAAGGAGGTATTAGTTGTTTACTTGAAGTGACCGATAAGGTGGACGTCAGATTTGAACAGTCAGGAGTGTTCGAATTAAATGTGACAGGAGGTACGTTGGTTTTTTAAATTTCTCTCACTGATAACTGAAGGTCAGGGGCGTGGGTCTAACCTCATCTGCAAAGAGGGCTGCAAGGTTTTCCATGGGGTGGTACATGGTACTGGCTACCCACCTCTGCAGTCTGCAACACTAGTATCCCAACATTACCATTACTTGAGATGACCGAATCTGCATGTTCGCCGTTCTGTTACGTTTTAAATTCTCGTTTATTCATAAAGTTTATATCAGCTTTTTATCATATACGTGTGACTGGGAAGTTGCTGCAACACAGTGCAGTATATTTGAAAATATGACTGGATAACAACCTCCACATATGCTTGTGATGTTACACTGAGTGTGTATCCACACCGGGCAGGCTTGAAAAATATGCCTGGCCACGGTGGGAATCGAACCTACGACCTTTGGAATACTAGCCCAATGCTCTGCCAACTGAGCTACGTGGTCAGGTCGGTTCGAGTATGTGATATTTCGGAACTGAGTCTAGTTCCTTCGATATTATAGTGTAATCTAATTATCATGATACTTGTTGTGTTGGTGTAATGTACTCAGGTGAATAAGATGCTTGTGATGTTACTCTGAGTGTATATCCACACCGGGCAGGCTTGAAAAATATGCCTGGCCACGGTGGGAATCGAAAGGTCGTAGGTTCGATTCCCACCGTGGCCAGGCATATTTTTCCAGCCTGCCCGGTGTGGATATACACTCAGAGTAACATCACAAGCATCTTATTCATCTGAATACACTACACCAACACAACAAGTAACCTCCACATATTCACGTATTTAACCACGACAATTAACTAATTAAAAAGCACTAGAGCATTTTCTCGTGAGCTCAAAAAACAATTAAATCGTTTCAAGAAATCGACACGCGCTAACAGTAGAACCAGCGGTAATCACTATTCGAAAAGCAGAAAATGTATGGCCAAGCAGATTTTTCAGGGCGGTGCTGGACATCTCCAGGGGGTGCTCGAAATCAATAAGTTGGGTGCAAACCCCCTATGCAAACCCGCGGTAGATCCACTTGCTGCAGGGTTGATCATGCCTATCGCCAGTACGGGATAGCGCTTATTAGATCTTAGAAGAAGAAAAACAAATTGGCTAGAAGCTAATATTGCTGTATATCATTATTTTTGTCAGATGAAACAAAATCGTTCGGTCCGAATATGGAAAAAGTTCCTGACGAGGAAGTTGTGGAAGGAAGCTCCATGTTGCTAAGATGTATTGCGGCAGGATAGTAAGTATTGTTTAATTTAGACGCATGTCAGAGAAGCACTTCCAGTTTTACTATCAAATAATGCACGTTTTCTCGTCGTAAATAATAAAGATACCTCTAGACCTTTAGCGAGAATAGTTTAGAACTGATAGAGCTATCCAGTATAAATAAAGTTAGCTTAGTTTAGGTTTCCTCCTGCAGTAACACTGGATCAATAAGAGATGACTCTTAATGGACATCTAGAGAGAACAGTTTAGACCTGATAGAGCTATCCAGTATAAATAAAGTTAGCTTAGTTTAGGTTTCCTCCTGCAGTAACACTGGATCAATAAGAGATGATTCTTACTGGACATCTAGAGAGAACAGTTTAGAACTGATAGAGCTATCCAGTATAAAAAACGTTATAGTTTAGTTTCGGTTTCTTCCTGTAGTAACACTGGATCAATAAGAGATGATCCTTACTGGACCTCTAGGAAGAACAGTTTAAAACTGATAGAGCTATCCAGTATAAATAAAGTTAGTTTAGTTTAGGTTTCCTCCTGCAGGAACACTGGATCAATACGAGATGACTCTTACTGGACCTCTAGGTAGAACAGTTTAGAACTGATAGAGCTGTCCAGTATAAATAAAGTTAGTTTAGTTTATGTTTCCTCCTGTAGTAACACTGGATCAATAAAAGATGATCCTTACTACACCTCTAATGAGAACAATCTGGCACTGGATCAAAATTAATTCACCTCATTTTAAGTACTGATTTATTCGTATGAGATCCAATTCGAAACTGGGCTAGATTTCAAGTCCTCGCATTTTGATCCAGATTGCGCAGATTTGAAATCTAGTCCAGTCCTATACATGCAGTCAGATTTGAAATATGACTTCTAGAACTAATAGAGCCAGCCATTGCACTCAGTCTTAATACAACATTTTGCTTCTATTTCTATCAGTCCAACACCGACATATCGATGGAAGAAAACAGACCTACTGGGAGTAACAAGCAATGTGTTTGATAAGGTGAACGGCGTGCTATTGTCAGAAACTAATAAGGTTTTATATATTAAAAAAATCGAGAAAAACCGACATGCCGGGACGTATACATGTCACGCTACCATTGATGATGGCGGAGCTCAGAAAACGGCAAAGGAAAGCAGCACGGTAACCATAAGAGGTAGGAGAATATGAAGGCTTAGGTAGCCTATACACGCAAAAATCTCACATCTTGTAGCATGTCTGCCAATAAGCCGTCAACAACTTGTGTTCACACTGCTTGTCCCAAGTTGTCAACATGTATGGAACAAGCTGTTGACAACTTGTAACAACCTTGTTGATAATATCAGACTTGTTGCAAGATTGTTCTAACAAGTCCATTACAGTTATGATATCACAATATTGTTACAACCTTGTAACATTCTTGTTATATCATGACTGTATCAGACTTGTTAGAACAACCTTCAGTTATGATATCACAATATTGTTACAACCTTGTAACATTCTTGTTATATCATGACTGTATCAGACTTGTTAGAACAACCTTCAGTTGTAACATTCTTGTTGTTTCATGACTGTATCAGACTTGTTAGAACAACCTTGTAACATTCTTGTTGTATCATGACTGTATCAGACTTGTTAGAACAACCTTGTAACATTCTTGTTATATCATGACTGTATCAGACTTGTTAGAACAACCTTGTAACATTCTTGTTATATCATGACTGTATCAGACTTGTTAAAACAACCTTGTAACATTCTTGTTATATCATGACTGTATCAGACTTGTTAGAACAACCTTGTAACATTCTTGTTATATCATGACTGTATCAGACTTGTTAGAACAACCTTGTAACATTCTTGTTATATCATGACTGCATCAGACTTGTTAGAACAACCTTGTAACATTCTTGTTATATCATGACTGTATCAGACTTGTTAGAACAACCTTGTAACATTCTTGTTATATCATGACTGTATCAGACTTGTTAGAACAACCTTTTAACAAGTTTAATAATGCCAACAAGCTTGTTACAGGTTTAATAATGCCAACAAGCTTGTTACAGGTTGTTAACAGTTGTGACAAGCTTGTTGATATTATCAGACTTGTTACAAGGTTGTTCCAATAAGTCCGATACAGTCATGATATGCTCTTATTAGCATGCTACATAAATGGAACTGTGACACCGATGGTAATAGTGCAACAGTGAGGATCGTATTGTTCGACTTCAAAAAGGCCTTCGATCTGATCGATCATGATATTTTAATTCAGAAACTAGTGTCGTACGAAATTCCAAATAATGTTGTCAATTGGATAATAGATTTCTTGTTGAACCGCAAACAAAGAGTTAAACTCTGCCAAGATTGTGTTTCGGAGTGGGGCTTGGTCCCCGCGGGTGTACCGCAAGGAACAAAATTGGGCCCATGGCTGTTTTTAGTCATGATTAACGATTTAAATGTCTCTAATGATGTGATGTGGAAATATGTGGACGACTCAAACATCTCCGAAACTGTTAAAAAAGACGAAGTAAGTCATATCCAATCAACCGTAGATGAGTTCGTACGCAAGTCCAAAACCGAAAAGTTCGTGCTGAATGAGCGCAAATGTAAAGAAATGAGAATTAGTTTTACGAAATCGGAAAAAGTCTTTCCACCCGTTACGATAAATAACGCCCCCCTTGAAATTGTCCCACA